GCTGGGGGTGGGTGACATGGTGGACAGATATGCCATGGTTCCTGTGGCGCTTCCTGGGCATGTCAGGGTCACTCAGGTGGCAGCTGGAAAGGTAAGCTTTTGGGAGCAAAAAGAATCCAAATAGAAAAGGCAAATAACTTATGAATTTGGAAGTCTTTGAAATACGTGTGGCTGGCAATTCACACAATGCTTCTCATAAGTGTCTGCCATGGTGCTACTACACATAATCAAATGAAAACTCACCGGACACACGTTACAAGAAAGTCATGGCCAGATTCGAGAGTTACGGCGAGGCAACTCGATAAATGTAAGGGTACGACACATGGGTCAGCAAGGTCCTGAATTTTTAGGGCTGAAAACTGTGCAGTGGAAAAGAGGAAGCAATTTGTCGTTGTGCTGAAATCAGGCGCACACTTCATGTAGAAGAAATTAGCACATTATGTCAGGCTTCACTTCTCGCGGAGGACACAATGTGCAAGTACAAAAACTGACGCATCCAAACGTATGCTCCAGCATCGCCCTTCTGCCTACAGAGTCCTCTTCAGCCCTGAAAGTTCGCATCTTCAAGATCTTCAGCATAGAGAGGGATGCAGATCCTGAAGATGTTGAAGTGCTGAAAGTCCCCAAGAGAAGGGGGCGAGCTGGGGCGCAGTATTGTCCCCCTCCCCTCCTCTTCTCCAGGGATTTCCATGGCAGGGGGGTAGCGAAAGACCCTGAAGGACTTGGAGTGGTCAAAATCTTGAAGGTGGGGGAAGGGAGGTATGGGCTTAGAGGCAGGGGGAGCAAGGGAGGCAGGGGCACAGTGGGGACAGGGGGCAGGGGGCAAAGGGGGCAAGGGGGAGCAGGGTGGGTGCAGAGCATCCCACTCCGCCCTCCCCTCCCTTGTTAGGACGTTCTCCAGTCCATTGTTGTCAAGCTAGGCTTGGGCCCTTTCCTGCTGTCCGGTATGTCTGGCCCAGGGTCTGGACCGGACATCCAGCCGGATGGGTCTGTTCGGCCCAGTGCAAAAGAGGAAAACAAAATTCAATAACATCTGAAGTTCTGAACGAATAAATATCTCATAGAGAACACCAATACAAGCAACCTTTGGCTGAGGGTCACCTCCAAATTGGTAATAAAATCCAAGATAAAAAGTAAAAACGATTTTTTTCAAATTTTTTGAATTTTTTTCAAAATTTTTGTCCTTTTCAATTCAACCAGCAGTACCTTTCCAAGCCATTTTTCTACAATGCGGCTGCATGCGTGCTGTGTCTGGCAGGATGAACCGGGCATGCCAGTTCACAAAATACATCCAGGTGAATTACATCGCATGCACCGCCCGCTTTGCCTGAGTGTACTTTTTTGCGAAGTGGCAGGCTGGTACATCCTGCCAGGCGCAGTGCGCATGCAGCCGTGTTGTAGAAAAATGGCTCGAAACATCCTGGTGGTTTTGAGTTGTCCCGGATTTTTGGACAAAAGAAATGAGCTGGGCCATCCGGGTCCTGAAGTCCAGCCCACACATCTGGCTCCTGGACATCCGGTGGTCTACTGTCTCCCCCCGAACATAATGCACCTTGAAAATGAATGCACACAAGGTATGCTCCCAGCCCGATACATTCAAAATGAGGTTGCATTGTGTTCAGGGACGAAGATGGTAGCCATCAAGATCATTGAAGGAAGGAGGGTTAAAGCCCCTAAATGTCCTGGAAGGAGGGTTAAAGACCCTAAATGTTCTGAGGGCATACTCACCCTGGCACTTTTTTACTTATTTCTGGACGGAATTGTGGGCAGGTGCATACATGTCCGGCCCTAAATGCAGCCACATACATTTAACTTGATTTTCGAGATCATGCTTTTTTTTTTTTTTTTTTTTTTGAAACACCCGTCTGGGTTCTAGGGGTGCTGATACAAGCAGTCACCTCTAGCACCATAGGGGGGGGCTCCATCTATCGGTGGGGAGCAACACCTGCTGGAAATCAGGTCCAGCGTCCCTTGTACAAACTCATGTCCGTATTGAAGTCTTGAAGTTGCCTGCCAGCATTGATTACCCTGGGAGCCCAGACGATTGACTGCGCAGGACACCTGGCAAATCATGAATAGCCAAATCTCCCTTTTATGCTGCAGTCAGTCCTCCGATTTAGTGACCAGGACCTGGGTGCCAGTCTTACCAGCGGTGTCATAGGTGGACCGACCTGATGTGAAAAGGGGGCAGGGAGGCTGGTTGGTTCTGAACCCAAGGGGCGACTGGGGCAGACAGCCTGTTCCTCCCACTTATCCATCCTGATAGGTCTCCCTAGGGCTCCGCTGGACGGGTTCCCCTGTGTCACGGAATACCAGCTCAATTCAGCCAAATAATTGTTGGGGAATAGGTCTGGGAATTCAGAGGCAGGGGGGAGTGGGGTGTCGCTGGGGATCGCTGCCCACTCATGGAAGATCAATCGATAGTCCTTCTGCGATGTGTCCAATCGATTGTTGTTATCCAGTTGCCCCCCATCCCATTGGACCCTTGCAATCCATCCTCCCTGTTCACCCCCCAGCCAGTCCATGCAGAATTCATGTAGTTTCTGGATAATGTCTGACCTTTTTTGTCGTGTGAGTACGCCCTGAATGAGGGGACACCGTTTCCCACAAATCCTCTGCCTGGTTTTCTCAGCTCGGCGAGGATCTGGAACCTCTAGAGGAACATGCTGCCTGTTCATCGCCCAGGCAAAATTGAGAATCGAGATCGAGCGATCCAAAAATTTCGGAGGCTTGGAGCTACCGGACCAAAATGGCTGGCGGCGCCAGCTAAAAGAAATGAAAAAGCGCCGCGCTGGCGTCTCAGCAAAGCTTGGTGCAGAGGGGGAATCCGCCTCGGCTAACAGAGGCTCGAATGTACTGGTGGCTTAACCTTTTGGCCCGGATGCAAAGGGGCGATCAATGCTGCTGATTCAGTATTTTTTCTTTTCTTAGGATGCCCAGAGGGGTGTGCCCTGGGAAGATGCCTTGGGCACCACATGCGTTCAAGTCTTCAAGGTATTGACGCGTGCTCACGGTCTGCAATTCACATTGCGTATCACATTTCACTGGCTCTTCATCGTTGCGAGGGGGGAGATACCTGTTTGCTGAGAGTTTGCTAATCCAAACTTTGTTTTACGGTGACGTGCCGTGGACTGTTGAGTTACCAGGACCTACGAGTCTCTCTTTCCCGACCTGGATTTCTACCGCGCACCAATTTTTGCTGAACCGTTGCGGGGACAAATTTGAATTTTTTTGCCTGATGAGGCTGGCGCTGCCAGCCTTTTTGATTTGGTAGGCCGAGGCCCGAAAGACACAGCATGTTAACGGACGCGTTGGAAAGACATTGCAGGCAAAGGCATTGGTCTAAGGTCATGGTTGGAAACAACATGAAAGTAAAATACTTCTCCCTCCCCTCCTCCCCCCCCCCTCCCCCCCCTCCTCTGAGAAAACAAGCTTGAGACTGCTAGGAGGAAGGGATATGAGCCCTCTCCTCTAGTAGACCTCCAGCTAGGCTCCAGTCTATTGGTGGAAACCTGGTCCATCATCCCTAATACAAACATTGATTGCAATATGAAATGAGCTACTGGGGCCATTACCCGGTTCGGCTACACAACTTCCTGAGGCTCATCATGAGGGCCAGGGGGAAAGTGCGAGGCCGGGGGGCACCGATCCCCACCATCGCCCCCATCCCTTATTACAGCTGCTCCACCAAAGAAAGAGATCATGGAGGGAAACAAATCGGGAAAGTCCTCTGCTGCTCTCATTGCTAGGCTTCATTCGATTGTGGTTATCTAAATAGTAAATACTGATTTTTTTTAGATGGCCCCAGTTGAATGGAGCTAAAGGTCAATTGTTCTTGACATACTGCACCATAGAATGGCCGCGAGTAGTCGTGAATTATTCTTGAATTGATTTTGGAGTCCCACTCTTAGTTTCATTCTTCATTTGATTTCTGAGTTCCCTCGATCACTCCTGTTTTTTTACAGTTATTTTGAACTAAGCTATATTCTTCTCTCACTTTCACCTTTCACTACCTACCTGCCAGGCTACCACTACTCCTAACTTCCTAAGCCTATACAGGAGACCCCTGCAAGCATAGCTGCCTCTCACTCCTGTTTACTCTCGGGTTCCAGTGAAATCCTCAAATTGGTACTTGGGATCAAATTGCCATCCCCACATCCTTTTCCTGAATTCCACCACTAAATCTCACATATGCCCCTCCTTTTTGAGAGTATATCCACACTACCGTCTTCACCCGAATAGAACGCCCGGTCATTGGCACAACTTTCAGCCCAGATACGGTGATAATTACCGGGCGTTCTATTCGGGTGAAGACGGTAGGACTTTTTGGACTAAGCTCTGGATGTCATTGCAGTCAGAAACATCCAGGTCCTGGTAGAATTCCGGTCAGATGCATCCAGGAGAGTCCTAGTGTGAGTGTGCCCTGAGCCCAGCCGACTTCAGTACCGGGCCAGCTGTTCAGATAAATCAAGCCCGCAATTCTCGTCGGGTTACAGGATGGCGCAACTCCTCTCAGCTATATAATCAACCTTGTTCACGCTGCACCTGACTTCCAGCAGGTGAGGCTCCTCACCGATAGATTGGAGCACCTCGGCTGGAATGCTATGAGGAGATGTTCATAGCACTCCGAATGTACTCCCAGCCTTGGTTTCAGAAGGGGAACAAAAAGCACAAACCTTGTTCAGGCCAGGGAGTAGCTTCAGTGGGCCTTAAACCCAGCACCTATCTGGTGTAACTCAGGCATGCAACTACGTGAGCTAGCTACCTACTCGGGCACTCTTCCGGGAAAAAAAAATCCAATAGTTCGATGCAGTCAGTGCAATGATTGATTGAGAGTGGAGGGAAGGTTGGTTCCCCCCCCACATGCTAGATGCCCTTGAAGCTCTTATGGTTCTGTTAACTGCAAGATTGACTCCGCTGCTTTGGACGGATTGTTGTGTGACCAAGCGATGACAGGCCTTTTCGCTGGCAGTAACGGAGGATGGACGCGTCTGGTCATGGGGATGCAATGTGAAAGGGGAGCTAGGGCTCGGTGACACCGTGGCAAGGTTGTTGCCAGAGATGGTGGAGGGCAAACTGGCGGAAGAGACTGTGGAGGTTGTATTACTTTTCCCACTTCCCCTCCATACTATGCCCGGTGCGTCTAGTACAGCCGCTTCTGGTATGCACGTATGTGCTCGTTGAACTTGCACCGCAGTTGAGACATGTCTTGCGACAACCGAAAATTCGGCGAAAAATGAATTAGATTTGTGCATCACACATCTGCTACATTTATGTTACATCATCTTCATCTCCCCCAAGTTCTTTGGTCTTGTAAGCCACTTGTATCAGTACCCCTACCGGTAACATTACCCCGGGTTGGTTTCTGGTTAAAAAAAAAAAAAAAAAAAGAAGAAGAAGAAGAAGAAGGAAAAAAACTTTTAAAAAGGCATTTTTAATTTTGTTTACTTACTGGTTATGCATTTTGGGCCAGTTGGCATGATCCTTCGGAACTTCCTGCATCCTCTTTTTTTTTTTCCCCTGCATCCTTTTACAAAACAACATCCATTTCGTTTTATATTGTTTGTCAATGTTTGAAGAAAATAGAAAACTACTTATTGAAGTTATTGGGCCCTAAAAATGTAACCGTTTTAGCTCCTGAGGTTGTGGAATGGGGTGTCTCGTGAGACCTGGTTCTCGAGTGGGCCGGTGTTTGTGTTTTGTGTTCCCATGGCCTTCCCCAACCCTCGCGTCTGTCATTTCACGAGGTGGTGGTTTGCTTGCGTCGTTGTGCGTCTCGCAGAGGCAGGCCTGCATTTGTCATTTCGTGAGCTGGCGTCATTGTCAGAGGCAGGTACTACTGGGGGATGATCGTATCAACGTCAGTGGCACCACCGGAAGATGTAAATTATAATGATAAAATCAATTTAAATTTTAGATCATTAAACTCACCATAGAGCACAGCCTCGGACCTCCGCATTCACACTATCCTTCTCTCCAACTTTGTTCTTTGCTTTGCGTAGGCGAGAGTCAATCTCTGTCGTACTGCTTAGGTGGCAGACTACACGATCCCCCTTAAGCAGGAGGGGAAAACCTGTACATTGACAGGTTTTCTGATTCTGGCCATTTGCCGGCTTGCCGAACAATGGGTATGTAACATGTCTCCGACTGACTGGCTCTTCTTCCAGACCAGTCGGAGTCGCTGGCATAGTAGTCTACCCACAACCGGTATTGGTGAACACTCCTCAATCTTCACTCTTACTAAACTTCGTACTTTACTTTTTTTTATGACTGAATCTCATTCCTATGACAATCCTTCTATTATGCAGGCTTATTCCAAACTTTTTCTTGGCCGTGCCGTTCTCCCATGGCCAGCTGCTCACACCACGTGGAAACCCTAGTTCATTGGTGTAAGCGGGGGAAATGTCGTGTCGGCGTCTGGTACCCAATTATCAGGTCACGGTGCACTTTCTGAAAAATAGTCATGCTGCTTGCTAGCTGCTGGAACGCTTCCGCATACAAAGTAGGGAGCCACAGCCGCTGTCCAATAGGTACACATCTGACTGATCCCCTTCTACCTCCGAATTTCCCGTTGGCCATTGAGACCCCTTCCTTTTTCGGATCCGAGAGGGCTGGCTGCAGTTGGTCTCAGGACTTTTTTCTTGCATTTTTGCCCCTGGTTTCGAGTCTTTTTCCTTTACCCCATATTTTATCTCTGAAGCATCCCCCTCCAACCAACACTGAAAATTTCGGTTTGGTCCCGAAGTTTTTCAACCCCCGCCCAAAATCCTCGGCAGGTCCCCCACGCTAATAAGTGTTGGACCCGCAAGGGCACAGAATGCTGCACACAAGTGGGTGGCTGTCCATCACAAAACCGTCTCCTCTTGAGGGGTTGGACAGCTACTGGTAGATGAGGAGAGAACTGAATCCCGGAACGGGCATACCATGCCCAGCAGTCAATCCTCCCTCAAGGAGCAATCAATGCTGGGGGGGGTCTCGCTGACCTTAACGAGAGAAGAGTGTGTTTTCCTGCCTTGACAGAGGAAGAGGAAATGGACTGCTGCTAGTTGAGAAGTGTCATCTGGCAGCCTATCAGAAAAGAAAGCTGAGAGGAACGGACTCCAGCTCTTACTTTTTTACATGTCAGAACGTAGGAAACAGATAGAGATGTGGAGAGGAATGGAGAGGATGGTAGTCGAGGAGGAACATCCTTCGCGGAAGGGAGGCAATCAATGCCACTGTCTCAGGGCCTCTGACCATAATGAAGGGAATCATAGAGGGTGTGATTCTAAGTAAGGGACAGTGGACCTGGTTTCCAGCGGAATCATAGAGGGTGTGATTCTATGTAAGGGACAGTGGACCTGGTTTCCAGCGGAATCATAGAGGGTGTGATTCTATGTAAGGGACAGTGGACCTGGTTTCCAGCTATTAGGTATTAGCGAAATCCAGGTAATAGCTTCTGATGGCTATCGGTGCTGGTATTTTCTTTATGCAAGGAAGATGAGCAATAGCGAACTCCAGAACGCAAACAGCATCATACATAAGTTACCAGATAGCCATGACCTCGAACCATAAGCAGAATGGCATCAC